TGGACACTGGGAAAGGAATTAGCAAAGTTTTGTAATAGTCGCCAAGATGACTAGGATGTCTTAATCCCTCCACTGTTGATGGCCTATACGACAGCAGAGCATGAAACCACTGGATACACTCCAGCAAAGTTGATGTTTGGTCGGGAACTTCGGTTGCCAGTGGATCTGCCCACCTTACAAAGAGTTGCCTGAAAATGTGTCAGAGTTCGTGGAAGTGTTATCGGTAAGAATGGATAACATTCACCATCAAGTGCATTCAAACTTGAAAACGTCTGCTGATTCGATGAAGCTATGTTATGATAAGAAGTCTATTGAAGTCAGCTTTGTACCAGGAGACACGGTGTGGTTGTATAATCCCAGGAAGACCAAGGGGAAGTCTCCTAAGTTGTCTTCTCCATGGGAAGGCCCATATGACATAGTGGATCGTCTCTCAGACATGACTTTCCGAATAAAATGTGGTCGGCGAGGTAAGCCAAAGGTTGTGCATGCCAACAGGCTTTGGCATTATCATGGTCCAGGACATTTCAGTTGGGATGAAGTGAACAATAGAACAAAAGACGCCGCTGAAGACGTGTCTCCTGGAAAAGCCACTGTCGAAGAAGAAACTCCACTCGGTTATGAGAAGGGAAACAGTGAAGCCCTTGATGACGTTACAACCACTGATGTGACTATTACCGATAATAGGACAATTCCTGATGGAGCAGATGAACCTCATGTGAAGCAGAAGCCAGTACGGAAGAAGATACGTCCCGTAAAATTAAGAGACTTTGTTGAATTTTAATTTTGTTTGTAAATTCTGTACATTTAATTAAGTTATTGTTAATTATCTATTGGTTTAACTTAAGTGGCTGTTGTTCGGGAAAATACTAAAGAAGGGGCAGTGTTATGACATCGGAAGTCACGTGACTCTGGTAACACTTAATGATATTCTCGAAGGTTCGTGAATGCTCGAGTGTTTACTAGATGTGCGGTATTCTTGTATATATAAGACCGGCGAGAAGTGACGGCATAGATAATTGTATTGCAGACAGAGATATAGAGACAGATAATCAAGTCAAGCCGTAAGTAAAGTGCGTGAATCGTTGTGAATTCTAGCGTGTGTTGAAGTTAAAGTGAATGTGGAAATTAAGTGTACTGCAAAGTTGAATTGAGAAAGAATAAACTAGTTTCATTTAAGAAAGGACTTGTATCGCTGAAGTTCTTCAATATTTAAATAAGGTATATTCACGTAATTTTTTAAATTTTCGTGCAGATGTTCTGCATGTTTCTGATCATAACTATTGTTGCGTCAGCGAGGTCACGTGACTAATATCACGCCACGTCCTTCTCGAACGTTCGTGAATTGTTTGGAGACTACTAGATTGGGGGTAGTGTAGTATATATAAGATGGTCACAACGTGACGAGGTAATGAGTAATTGAATGTATGCGGACAGAATATTGTTGGCCACGTGAGTTATAGCGTTGTTATAGAGCGACTGTTGAAATTAAGTGTATCGTAAAGTTGTATTCGGAAAGAATAAACTAAGAAAGGACTTGTGTCGCTAAAGTTTAGTCGGAACAAATTTACGGAAAATTAACTAACGAACGGAGACGTAACAGTACTTTCAACTTTGAAAGGTTTGTTTTCCTTCTTCGAAGCTTGGAGCAAAATCTGTTATTACATAATGTCTATTAATTCATGAACATAAATTATCCTAGCTTTGAATGAACTTCAGAGCTATGTTTGTTTTGTTTTATCATTTTCGTGTAAAGCTACACAAGGTCTATTTGCGCATAGCCGTTACTAATTTTAAAATGATGGACTAGCGTATAGCCAACAGCACACACCCCAACTCGCCAATTCTTGGGCTATTATTATCTAACCGAATAGTTGAATTTGACCGTCACTCATACAGCATAAATATGGCCCAAAAGTACACAGCAAGTATTTGCGGAAGCGAGACGCGAACCATAAACCGTTGTGTTTACAGTTCCATCACATTATAACCTCTAGGTCACACCATGTTTCAAAACTTTTTTGTTATTAGTTCTTAATTAGCAGCGATTGAAAATGAGATCATATGAATACCATTGATAACTATCATAAACTTGGCAGCTTAGTTGGTTTTTGTTGTTAAGTGCAAAGCTACACAATGGGCTATTTGTGCTATTCCCACCGCGGGTATCAAAACCCAATCTTTAGTTTTATAAGCCTTACGATTTACCATTGAGGGAATGGGACTGGCAGCTTTGAAAGGTATTTCTATTTTCAACTACATAATCCTCCTCTTATCAAATCTATTAATTTCTTATAAATTAGGTTCATAAAGTGGTGACTGATTAAATGGATCACAAAATTTTATAACTCAGAAAAAATATAATGAGTTTTATAGGCTCTGGATGTTTTTGCATTTTTATTTGAATCAAATGTTTATGTGTGTGTGTAATAGTATGTGTGTGCATTTATGAAAGCGCAGAAATATACAATAGGCTATCTATGATTTGTCCCCCATGGAGAATAGAACGAACAGAACTCCGGTTTTTAGCGTTGCAAGTCCATAAACTAATCCCTAAAACACTGAAAGATCAAATGTTTATAAATTTGTTTTATATTGTTACGTCTCTGTATTCGTTTGTTAATTTTCCGTAGAAATTCTTTCGAGAGAGAAAGGCGGCCCGGCGAGAATACTTGCCCCGGGGCCCGCGCTGGCTCTCGACGTTCCTGCACACACACACACACACACACATACATTTGGTTAAAATATACATGATAGAACGAGGAGGAATGACAAGATACACGTGTTTCAACTGTTCAGAAAGCTATTATACAGTCTTTTTTTTATTTCTGGAATTTATTGTTTCAAATAAAACCATATAGGAACACGAGCATAAAGTGCTTAACTAAAGTACTGTTGCGTCAGCGAGGTCACGTGACTGGTATCACGCCACGTTGTTCTCGAACCTTCATGAATTATCGGGAGACTACTAGATTGGGGGTAGCCTGGTATATATATATATGTATAATGACCTAGCCATTGAACTATGGCATGTAAATAATTATGTGCATCGTTTAAGAACATATAAGAACCGAAGCATTATATTATTAAGAAAACATCATTATTCACAAATGACAAACGGAGATTATGATTATTTAAAATGATTATATTTATACCTTTCCATAACTAGTATAGCATATATTCTAATTTATTACAAAGAATATCCTAAAAATATAGGTTATATAAGTTGTTTGATATAATACTTTTTTTTCTTAAAGCTTGAATTTCTGTAATTTGTTGTAAAGTTGTAGAAATTCTAAATACTGAACCATTACAAGTTTTTTAATAGTTTTTACAGTTCTTCTTTTGAATCCAGGTGCAATATTTCTGAAACATCAGATGAAATTTTACTTGATATACTTCTTATTTCTGTTTATTGCAAGTGTTGCAGATCCTTTCAAAAACAATTTAGTTTTATGCTTGTAAACAAAGTTAAAGAAATGTTTCAGGATAAAAAAAATGAGTAATTAATACAAAATTACAACAATTAGTGTAAGAAATTTCAAAGTTTTCCCAGTAGTCTTCCTTGTTTGTCAGTTACACTAATACCTACTGCTTCTTGCACTGAATTAGAACAGAATTAATTAGGTCCCATATAAAGAAGGTCAAAAATGGCATGTTTAGTCTTCAAAAGAAAGTAACTAAAGTTCTACAGCCTGCTTATCCTCAGATTTGTTTTCTGATTATGTTTGAACCCTAAGTTAATTGAAGCAATTTTCTAAACTTAAGGACAAGATTCCTATGCTCAGGTGCTCTTCAGTGGTGCATAAGTTTACTTTTTTTGTTGTCAGCAGGTCTATGATTCAATGATTTTCAGTACATAAATTCAAAAAACTACAGCTTAACACAATGAGCCACAGCTGTGCCTACTGTTGTATCAGTAGTGATTGTATTCCCGTGGATAGCGATTTCATAACTCTAAAAGGTACTAGTGATGAACAAGGAGGCTTTTCATCACTAATAATCTCCTCTTCATTATCACGTACCCCATTTTACATCTGTAACCTATTTACTAATACTGAACTTTGAAAATAAATTTGAAATATGGTTTATTACAATTTTTACAATTAAAAAATTATATTATATTTTACAGTAATTAATTTATTATATAATAAAAGAATAAAGTATTTTACTTTATATTTTGATGTATAAAAAATTATTTTACCTTAAATACTGAGAAATTTGTTGTATTCAGAATTAAAATTTCATTTTACCTTTCATTTTGATTCATTGTATGATGAAAAACATATGAACTCTATAGATGAAAAAGTATTATATCATATTATATCAAAAGTGTATACATCAGAAGTTACAGGTGATTACTTTTCAAATAATCAGTTGAAAATCTCACCCTGTGTAATGAATAAACTGATTTAATGACTTATCTTTTTGTGTAATAAGGCACTTGATAACTAGAATGTACTGAACAAAACTATTAAGTTTAATCAACATCTCTCATTTCATCTTTTTATTTCTTTGTTATTCTTATAATTCTGGATCTCATAATTTACAAAATTTGAAAAATATTAATTAACATAAAAAAAAAGTATAAGCATAGCTCGAACTGATACTGGTTCTTTAACTGCTGCAACATATTTATAAATCAATAGTTTTAATAACTTGTAATATCTGAACATCTGAGATTGTTTACACAGTTTATCTATTAAATGATACCAAAATACAATTAACTTGTAAAACAAATACATTGTTTCACCATTTTGCTCCAAGAAAATAAAGTTTACATTATTAGCTGAGTAGAAAATACCAAAAAAGTATTTCTTGTAATAAAACATTAGTTTGAAAGCTCTTGAACTTTTGTACAAAATAAAACAATGAAATATTATTACTTTCAAATGGTTAACATCTTCTATCCATTAAAGCTTGTATTATTTAATTTTGTAATGCAAGTTAAATTTTCTAATTTCTCTTCAGATTCACAAACTATATCCTACATCATTTACCACATGAAAATGTTTAGAAAAGAACAATTTAAAACTTTATTAGAGATATATGAAATGCAATTAAAGTAAAATAATATATAGATATTTGCACAATTTAAAATAAGGAAACATTTGGACTTTATACCAACTGACTGAATAATACATGAGTAATGATGCAAACAATTGTATGTCTCCTTAATGGCATAAATGCATAATATTTGTGATTCAAGGAGAATACTTAAAATGTTAACTTACAAATTATGTATGATTCTACATATAAAAAAGTATGATACATCTACCAGTATTACACTACAGAATAGCAAAACGTTTTTACAGAAATAAACATATGTACAAAAATGGTCCAAACAAAATACCATCTGTATGAATATAACTGAAAGAGGAAAAAAAAAATCAGCCATACACAGAATCATTTCTGTAAACAGCATGGTAGGCTGTTCGCAGCAATGCATATGGAAAACAGGACTCGAGGAGGTCCATTGTCAGAAAGGGTGATTCCTGAACTACCTGATCCAGCAATAGATACACAGAATCTCTATTACGTATTGCTTCTTTATCTGACTCCTGGCCAAGTCGTAGTAAGCTAGATGATGCAAGCTAAAAGGAAGAGATATCCATAATAATAATAATCACATATTACGTTCATATACTAAGATACTTTGCAGAGAATTAAAAATACTTGATACAATTATGCATTTGCACCAGCAATTATCCCACTTATCAGTAACTAATATAAAACACTTTTAAATTAGTTACCATACAAAGGAGAACAAATTGCTATTACTAAAGTCCAATAGTGGTGATAACGCTACTTAAAATGGCCTAATGTTAAACATACCTGGTATTAAGCTTCTATACAGTTTTGGTTATAAATAATACCCTCACAATAATATTACAGTAGTACAATGTTAGAATTACAAAACTTACAGCCAGAAACTCTTTAAGTCTGTCCTCTACTTCTCCTGTACTGCAGAGAGTAAACATTGCACCTGCTATTCCATTGATTGCTTGGGCAAGGCAGTGGATATTGTTAGTATGTCCTGAAATGGCAACTCAAAGTATTTCAATATGAAGTTCACAAAAAAAAAAGATTTTTAATACAGTGTTCTTTCAAGTTTTGTCAGTTTTAAGAACAACTGTTCTTCTATAAACACTTTATACACTAATTGACAAAAACCAGCACAAATACAAAACCAAAAAAAAAACACTTTCAGAAAGATAAATAGAGTGCAAATCAAGTTTAATTCAAGTTAGTCTTCCTTTGTCTTTGCTAATCTAGAGGTGTATTCTTTCAGTCATAGTGAAAAAGTGTTTTTTTGATACAAAGAATGTTTAGTTTCAAAAATCCATCCAACAGACTATCTACATAAGCTGTTGCTAATTTTGAACTAACAGATTAAATGGAAGGCAGTTAGTCAACAGCACCTACCACTAACTCTTGGGTTACTATTGTCTAACCAAACAGTGGGATTTGATCATCACATTTATAATGCCCTGATGGCCCCAAAGTGCAGAGTGCTGTTGGTATAATAACAGATCATGAACCTTGAACCCCCAAATTCACAGTCTAAACACACTAACCATTAGGCCACAGTGGTCTGTGCTTATGAAGAAGCATTCTATCAAATCAGTTAAACAGGAATACTTGAAATTAAAAAGAATATTTAACAAAACATTAATATTAATTCTTGATGTTTATAGACATAGATTCCAACATAACAAATGAAATTCAGTAACTTGCCCACTCACAATACTAATTCATTTTGATGAACATAAAGAAAAAGTTCTCACTATAGCATAACTTCTTTAAACATAAATCATTATTGACCTTCAATGTGGGTACCTTTTACTAAAAAAAAATGTCAGGAGCTTAAACATTTTTAATAACTGATTTTATTATAAAGAATTTAATGTACAAACCTTCTAAAGAAGTCTTGTAAATTGATCCCTCATTACGAGCAAGCTTTGGAAGGGAAACTGCTACAAACACCATTAAAAGACACGCCATCTGGTATTCATCATCTCCAAGATCTATAGAACAGAAAAATTGTGAAAATTTAAATTTAACTGAAATGATGGAAGAATATTCTACAAAAATACAACTCAAAATTACAACAAAGATATTGCTATCTTTCACATTTTTCACATAATTAGCTGTATGTAATAAACATCTGTTTTGTTGCAACCACTTAAAACAACAAAACAATATAAGAATGAAAATAAATTTCTAAATAGCACAATTGTATATTTAAACAAAAATTGACCCCACCTGATTTTTGAGCTCGAAGACCAGCCACAAGAGCAGGATCAACTTTACATGGAAATCCTGCTGCAGCAGCCATATCACTGACAACCTGCTAAGAGCCAAATTACAGTCAGATCTGAATACATTTTAGTATGAAAAGTTCATTAATATGTTTTAAAAATTCCAAAATTTCACAGGTTGAGTACATAATACTAAACCAATTTTGGAGCCTCACAAAGTTATTACAGTCCATATAACCATACCTGGTCATGTTCTATCTGACAACCAAGAATCTTAACAATAGCCCTGAGTGTATTTTCCATTGTAATGTTGTCATATCAGTCAAAAGCATGTTACTACTCCCTGCATGCTTTCTATATTTTATCCAGTATACTATTGCTTGGGACATGTGGATGGATTTTGCCACTGAACTTTGTGTTAATGGATTCTCATTTGTTACAAGACCCTGCACTTTGCTTGCCACAGCTTGGGTACGATTTGTTGCGAGTCTCTTTCTGGATGGTCTTGTTTCCCCAACTTGGAAATTCTAAATTCAAAATCTGAACACATCTTTATGATCTGAATGTATGAATACCCTTCCCAAAAGCAATAAATTTTCAATGGAAAATACTACCTACAATACACCAAACGAAGTCAAAATGCAGTTTTGATCTTGCAGTGCCATCATGACTTTATGACATCTGTGGATATTGTGTGAATTTCTGACTAACAAATTCAAAAATGTTTAATATAACATATTCCAACCTCTATGTTAATATTTATTTGCAAGTGATATTGAAAAAAAAGTACATTACATCAATTCCAGATACCAGGGCTGACATTAATGGCAGTAAAATTGTTTGTTGGTAATTAAGCACAAAGCTACAAAATGGGCTATCTGTGCTCTGCCCACCACGGGTATCGAAACCCGGTTTCTAGCATTGTAAGTTCACAGACATACCGCTGTGCCACTGGTGGATGGCAGTAAAATAAAAATAATTTTACTCTGATGAATTCATATGTCATGGTTGATGTAAATGTATAAATATGACCTCTTTCATTGTTTTCACTAGTGGAGCATGTCTGTTACAAGCAGCCAATGGGAAAGAGGGAATGGAGCATTCATTCTCCCCCCCTGTACATTTGAAATTTCTCAGTTCTTCAGGAAGCATGATGAATACAAATATTTGAAAAATGTGAAGCTTTAAGTATGTCAAACAAGGTTTGTGAATAAAGTCACTGAGTGAAATATAAGGAATGTTTTACCTTGACAGACTACAAGATTTATTATTTTCAAAAAACATGCAGAATAAAATTATTCTTATGAAACTATTTTTCAGCTTTTAAAAATGGTTGGATAGAGAAAGAAGAGACAATAAAACAGATATAGCCCAAAGTGTTCAAAGAGAAAAACATGGCTCATGAAAGGTACCACCCTTCTGGTGCTCTATATACTGGAGAAGGAAACAGGAAAGGAAAAAGGAAAGATCAGAAAGATAACCTCCTACAGTTTTTGCAACTCAGTATATTAAAAATGGTGAAGACTACCATTAAAACAATTTCAAGAAATTACTGCTGTTAAAACTAGTGAAAAGACCAGTACTTCAACTTCTTGGTACACAGTCTCAAAAATTGAAGAAACCACAGCTTCTCATGAAAAAGAATTCTGAAGGATAAAACCAGACATAAAGTAAAATTAATTATTTGATTTGGGTGATTTTGGTAAATTGCCAAAAATCAACCCAGAGACATTTGGCTTTGCCAAAGATTACAGAAAAATAAATTAACACAATTTATTACAACTTGCCAGTGGAAATGAAGTGTCAAGACAATGGGTTCAGTAACCAATCAC